CGAAAAGTTCCTGCATCCATTTCCGCTGTATTAATGTATGTTTCTTCAGAAAACGAGCTTGTTACAAAATTAACAATATGGCGGCTTTAAATAAACGACTTTTTGATGTTGTATTTACTTAAGAGGAGGCTCAATCGAAGAGATAAATATAAGAAAAGTCTGGGTGAGAAAATATACAGAGAACGTGATATTAAAGGAGAAATGAATCACTAATCAAAGATCTTTGGTTTTATTATCAAGTTTTATTTTTTACATATTTGAATGACACCAAAAATTCGAGGAACTGCTTCCAATGGATTGGTCCCTATTTGAAGAAATCGTCTCAACGGCTGGCACACCACGAGCGAGCGGCTGCAATTTTACGTTATTTGTGCACTGAGATGCTCAAATAAATCACAACAACGGGCCTATCGAATAAGTCCCACGTCAATAAGTCGAATTATCAACGAAACTTGCGGTGCTTATTTGGACTGTAATGCTAAGTAACGATATATTTAAAGTACCTACCACTGAAGACGAGTGGAGACAAAACTTGGTTGTGCCGTCCATGTTGTTTCGAACTCGCGGGCAGCAATGTTCAGGCAGTAGTTTAGGCAAACATAGCCCGCACGTCTACTTGATTTTGATTGGTTTGTAAAGATATTTTCCAATGAAAGAAAGAAAAAAGTTGAAATTTTTCAACTTTCTTTTTTCCTGGCATAGAAAAATATTTCCGACCGAAGATAGAGAAACACGACTAGTGCGCATGCTCAGCTTAAAGAATTTTCCAAGATAGGAAAGTTTTCAATAAGTGGAAATCCGCCTTAACACGGTTTTAATATGCACATGAAAAAATGTGACTTGGACGAGATTTGAACTCGCACCTTCAGGATACTAGTCAGCCATCCAGTAAACTATAGCTCAACAGGTAGAGCAGCGGACTAGTATCCCGAACGTGCGAGTTCAAATCTCGTCCAAATTTTCATGTGCATATTAAAACTGTGTTAATATGCACATGAAAAACTGGATTAATATATTATATGTATTTTCTGATGATGGCTTTGGAATAAAGTCGAAACACTGTGCCATCCAGTAAACTACTATAGTGGCGAGAATCTCTCATCGATATGCAGTTTTAAGAGATTTGACTCGTCTCCAATCTCTGTCGGCTTGGTAGCTCAACAGGTTGAGCGGCGGACTAGTATCCCAAAAGTGCGAGTTCAAATCTCGTCTAAGTCACATGTTTTTGTGCATATTAAAACTGTGTTAGCATTAATATCTTATATGTATTTTCTGATGATGGCTTTGGAATAAAGTCGAAACACGGTGCCATCCAGTAAACTACTATAGTGGCGAGAATCTCTCGTCCATACGCAGGAGCGGATCTAGAGTATGTCAAATCCGTCGCGCGACTAATGTTTGAAATTCAAAAATTACCTATACATATTAATTAAAAATCATTAATTATTCTTACTTTATTATCGCATTTACTTCGTGATTAAAATCCAGCTTTATTTATTATTGAAAACTAATGACTAATCCAATGAATATCTCGTTGGTAACCAGATCAGTTGAATTTTAATTGACCTGGAATAACCGACTGATAAGCGGGGTGGCTTGACTGGTTCGACGGATAAAGGAGTCTATGAACGCCAAAAACGCTTATTTTATTGGTCAATGGCCAGATCAGTGGACACTCTAGAATGGTCTCGACTGATAAGAGGGGTGGCCGGACGTATAAGGGAGTCCAATGAAGTATTTGCCGGTTGCCAGTCTCCCTTAAATTTGCGCGGTTTTTGCAATGCATTCTGGGATCGCCAGGGGGCAAACATTTGTTTAGAAATATATCTGTCATAGTGATATTTTCGAGAATTCTCAATTTAAAGCACCATTTCCATTGTAATGGGTATCAGTTACCAGTTGGGAGAAAAGAAGTAAAAGTATGTGGAGACGGCAATTACTTCTATCGAGCAGTTGCGTTGGTTATAAACGGTGAAAGTGACGAAAACTTAGCTCATATTCTAGAAATGTGTAACGATGTTTTGATACAAAATCCGGCTACTTTTCGACCGTATTTATTTCGATACGAATCGATGGAAAGGCATCTGGAGTGAAGCATTATGTCCGCTTCGTGGTGAGAAACAGTGGATATGTACGTTTGAGCCACGGCCTTGCAGCATGAAATTTGTGTTTATGCTATGCTTGAGCAGAAATAGTTTTATTTCACTCCTCGCCTGATGTTACGTCCATTGTTAAAATGTGATCGAATTTGTGATGGTCCAATCATTTTGGTCTTGCATATCTTTCACAGAGCTGCTTCCCATTTCAATCTTTTGCAACCTATCAATAGTTGTGGTCTCGCACAATATCTGCCAATTAATACCAACCACCAGTGTTGGTTTATCTTGAACTTAAGAAAGAACCATCTGTTTCTAATGACCAATCACCTCCACTCAAAACTAGAACTGTACCTTGTCCATCAAAACCTAAAACATTATCCTGCCAATCCAAACCCAAAAGTGATAGTGAGTTTGTATGAATATACCAATGTGAATGCTGTGGTTCAAGGACACTTGAAATTAAGTGCCCTCTAACATCCAGGAATATGCATCCCAAATCTGCATTTTTCTCAACAGCTATTTGTGGGAAAACTAATGATAGTGGAAAGAAAGTGTTGAACAGGAACCATTTATATTACTTTCAAGTCCAAATGTGTATGGCTATAAGCCAAATCGACAATTGTGATTTTATTGTATTTACAGAAAAAGGAAGTGATATAGTGCAATTACCATTTGATGCTGACTTCTGGAGTGATGTATTTAAAACTGTGTTTCTTTTCTATAAGAATTATATGATTAGTAGTCTTTTATTGAAATATGTGCAATGATAAAATTTTATATTTACAAATAATAGCTTTTCAAAATAAAAATATTAAGTATAATTTATTTTAGATTGTGTGAGGATTACTTTATACCACACTTTCCTAAATTACATATGTACACAGAAACAAAATGTTGTCCAAAACTGGTTTTAATGTCAATGGAATAACTCCTGATAAAATCTGAAATTGCTTTAGTTTCATTATATTCCTTTCGACATGAGATCTTAATGAGGCAGCACGCCGAGTATGAGTTGTTCCATGACAATAGGCAGGAGAAATAAGGTGAACTTTCTTCACCACAAGTAGATCTCTAACAAGGAATCCTTTATCAGCCATGACACCATCACCTTTTTCTAGCAAGTTTATGAGACCAGAGTTGGTGACTTATAGCTGCTCCATGATATTTTCAGGCTACCAGGTATCTTAGGTATCTGGGAAATAGCTTGTTCAATAAATAAGTTTCTTTTCAATGTTTTAACATCGCCCTGGCAATAACAGTCAATGAGGTCATGTTTATCACTTTTAAAGCTGTAGCTATCATCAGAATCATAACTTGTAACATCCAAGTCTGTTGCACAATTTATTTGTGGATTGTCTTGGAGCACAGACTCTGGCTCAGTACACTGCTCAGGAGCAGTGAGTTCAGCAGCAAAAAATGCCTTATCCTCATGCTCAAAGCGTTTTTAAGTACTGCCTTCACAGAGAACTTTTCGTCTCTTTTATTTTAGGAATATTTGATTTGCTTCTATCTTTCGGCGGTAATCGTTTACTGGTTTCTTTTGATTGGTATCCTTTCAGATACAAAGTTGGATTGGGAAAGCCTTCGGATCGATAACCAGCAAGAAAATGATTAGAACAAACCATCGTATTAGTAGTGACTTTGAAGTTTTTCCTGTTGATCAGCTTTTGCCAAGCACTCTTGTCTTTCGTTTTTCGGAGAAAAAAGCTAAGAATACCAACGTGATGGGAAACGATATATTTTTCAGGATATCTCCTATCGTTATCACAGCCATAAACAGCACTGTGATCCCTATTCCCATTATAATTTGAATATAAACTTTTTACGAAAAGATATCTTTATAATACACAATGTTTGCCCCCTGGCGATCCCAGAATGCATTGCAAAAACCATCGTAGTATGCTATTCTAAACTTTACCACTTACGCTATTGGGCGTATGGTTCGTTGCAATGGTTTGAAACAATGTTGCTCTTTGCCCCAAATTATTCATGACGATCACATGATCCTAGAAGTGGGGAATTCCGAGAATTAGTGAGAATGAAACAAGTTTATATAAATTTATGTATCGCAAACCTCCATTCATGGTAGTTTTTGTTAATTTATGACACCATACTATTTGATTTGATTCCCAAACTAATTCTCTCCCAAAGAAGAAATTTGACTTAGGGACTAACCAAATTTAAAATTGATTCTAAACACCAGTGATATCTCAGTAATCGAATCTACATTTTTTTGGTAAACCACACCAATCCACTTTGACCTAAAAGTATTGACCACCTGCGTAGGCTATAGCATATGAAATAATGAGAGCTTTGCAGGTGCACAAAATGGAGCCGTGAAAAGAATGTATTCTTAAGAAATTCCACCCACTTAATTATTTAATAAATAAACTTCTATCGAAAGATAAATTTATATACCAGTAACATAATTTGTCCACTTCCAAAGCGCCCCTTCCATGAATGGCATCTTAATGAAGTCCTTTCGTTTCATTCAAAATACTCGCATCACTAAATCACTTGATTCTAGTAAATATTCATGAATGGTGATTGCAATTTAATTGCCACGTCGACCGCCATCTTGACACAGCTAACCTAAGACAAGAACTGCGTAGGAGGTCATTATTATCAAAATAAAATTGTAGAATGGTGAATAAAATATCTTTTTCTGTTTTATTTCTGCCAAATATTTAGGTGAATTAGATTATAACGTTACGTGCGTACTTGAACAGGAAAGGATTTCTCTCATATTCATTATTATCCTCCAACTATTGAAATAAATCGAATAACACATACCTAATTAAATATTCGTTCACATTCTACATTTAATATTTATGTATGCTCCGTTGTGTTGTAAACAAGGAAATTTTGAGTCAACTGCTCTGCCTCTGAAAGAAATCAGAAATGTCTTCGTTAAGCGAACGTGATATAAATGCATTGAAAGATGCTATAGATTTGTATGATACTATGGGTGATGGAAAAGTTGATTCTAGTGCTTTAGCTGATATCCTACGAGCGATCGGTGAGAATCCTACAGAAAGCGAAGTTCAGAAATTTCTTGTTCAACTTGATCCTTCTGGAAACAAGCGTATAACCCACGAAGATCTTATACCAATTGCACTTTCTTGCAAGCAAAAATCGAGGAAAGTTAAACCTCAAGAATTCGTTGAATGCCTCCGTGTTTTCGATAAGGATTGCTCTGGGAATATCAGTTGTGCTGAACATCGACAAGTTTTGACTACATTAGGAGATAAATTGACCATTGAAGACGTCGACATGTTGACAAGTGGTTTGGAACAGAAAGGACAAGTGAATTACGAAGAATTTGTGCGAAGTGTCATGTCTGGTTGAAACCGAAATCGAAACTTCGAAAACAAACGACTAAGCATTGATATTTAAAAACATTTTTAATTATCTGTCATCGGTTTTTATTGACTTAAGTTTAAAACTTTTATATTTTCGAACGTGACGTTAGACAGTTTGCTGGTAATTTATTTGTAACCTTTGCATTCAAACTATGTGTATTAAGGTAAACTAACGTATTTATTCATGTTATATACATTTTTGTTTAAGCCCCGATGAAAAATAAACCACGACGTTATCAGCAGTGGCGAGAATGAAGCGAGAAAAAGTTCTGCAAAATAAAAACAGCTATTCGTAGAACTGGATTTGCCTTCCAAGTGTTTCTCATGTTGCATTTTCTGCTCTTAAAAAACATTTCTAGTTAAAACCATCATGAAGACACTTGAATCATTGTTGCTTTACTTGCTTCCTATTGGTTTGATGGTTCGCCTTCAAAACCGCTTAAACCAAGCCTATCAAGTTATCGAGGACTGTGATTTAGAAGAGCAAGAAAAGAAAGGATACATCTTCTTCCATATGTACGCCATAAGACGCATGTGTAAATACGTCAAAACAGCACAAGGTTTGAAAATCTTTGGTTACAGCCTTCCAACCTTCCAGGCTTTTATTCTGGCGGCCTTTGGTCCGTTTTTCGGTGTTGTTCTACATGGAATATTTATTCACATCCATGCAAAACAGAAATGAATGACCTCTGAAGATATTCTTTATGAACAACAAAATCTTTTTCAGAAATGGGTAAAGGGGGTTGGAGTGGACTTCCAGTGTCTTGCAAGGGTTATCATTTCTTATATCAAAATCAGATTATATAATTTCTTCTCCAATAGTTAATCCTTCCAATGTCCTCAGACTAAAGCAAAAGTTCATAACGTCCAAAATGGTACAATTAAATTCTCGCATTGAACTCTTAAAAAAAGGAACGTTTAAAGTACGTTGTACTAGTTTTTTGTTTGAATTATTATGTAGTGTTTTTATATGCTTTAGTTAAGGATATTGATGATTTGATAAACCCTAGAAATGATGCAATGTACCTACCACATATGATGCAATTTTTGATTATTAACGTAATTTAAAAGGATAGTTAAGGGTAATTAAGAAGTTTCAGGTGTTTTGAGATGATTTTGAAAATAACTGTTAGTGGTTTTACACAAGAGTATGGAGTAAACAGAACTTAATGGTAGCAGCAAATGATTCATTTTAGCAATCCTAATAGGATGGGATAAAGGGAAAGACAAAGAAAGAGATTAGTTGGTTTTCAAATAATTATCTTTAGCGAAAATTCATCGTGTTCTTCTGCAGGAATTATTAAAAAATGGTTTTATTTTACTCTTTACAGTTTGTTTCTTTGCCCTTCGAATGACTTGCAGTGCATATCATTTTGTTGGAAAAATAGCAGTTAATATAAATAGAAGCTACATGCACACTTTAGCTTGATTCAATTCAACTGTATCGACTTGCCAATTTGACTTCACCAGATCCAGATATATGGATAAAACATTAGTCACATGACATTCTTCTATGTAAACGATATCATATCGATGTTAAAGAATACGATAGACAATTAGATATGTTAAATATGACTTGACCACATACCCACTGCAATGTTGTTTTTAATAAGTCAAATGGAACTGTTATTCAATGTATATTTCATTCCCCATTTGATAAATGAGAAAAGATAATTTGACAAAAATACGTTGTAAGACAAAGTAACATATTGTTCCTGCTTGTCTATGACTTTAGGTTTAAAGACCATAGAGGGCCAAACTGCGATATAAGTTGATTTTGATAAATAAGAAAGAGAGTCTTGCCATGAAACAACAAATCCATCACAAGTCACAGTTTTTTATAATTTATTGTACGAACATTTTTACTTGCTAAAACTTACATATTACTGGAAGTCGTTTGAGAAGTTCCTTTCTCTTAAATTTATTCTTAAGTTTATCATACATTACATTACAGATGTAAATTTTTTTTTTGGGTCTAAGGACATGAGAGTAGAAAACATTGAGGTGTAAAATAATCTCTAAACATGAAAGAAGATGCCGCTACTATACTGGGGAAATGCCAGTAAATTTGATGATCAATTTTCACATGTTTTATACTTGTTGCGAGGTATGTCATTTTGTACGTTTTATGTAAATTTTCGTGAATTAAAATACTGTGAAAAGTCCCAAATGGATTGCCAGCTGATGAAAAAATCATTTTACACCTTAATGATTTCTTCCTCTAAATTGTTTTCATCAGTTACCATGTTGGGGCAAAATTCCATACAGTGAAAAGAATTTCTGCTAATTTTATGCTTTGCTGAGCTTCGACACTCTCATGTACTCTCCCAACATGGCTTATATGACGTCAAAAGAAAACACACTATAGCTACGGTTGAATGAAAACAGCCCCAAACATCATTAAATATTTGTTAAAATTGCGTATATATTATTACGAAACAGCGATTTTGTGCACGTTATGATGACAAATTTCCATATTGCATTGAAAAGCGTATTTCGAAAACATTTATCAAACGCTGACACTTGCTGGCATGGTGACCATGTTTAATTTAAATACATATGCATATTTTAAGCTGACAGTCGTTTCAAAACTACCGATGGATGTTATTTATTCATCACGGCATAAATGCTTTTCAAACAACATTATTATTCTAAAATCATTACTTAATAGAAATTTGTACAACATTATTCCAAAATAGGTGGCAGGAGCCTACTTTGAAATACTTTACCACAAAATTGTTTTCTAAGTCAGAGAGCGAGGGAACTCTCTGACTTAGTAAGAATACGCCGAATTCAACAGAGTATATATGCTCTCTCAAAATCCAAGATTTCTTAAAATCTAAAAGATAGCCAAAGAACAAATTAGCGACACAATAAAACAAACACATAAACCTGAAAAGACTGAAGTCACTAAGCTACAAGTCAGTGAAACAAATAAAAATTTTTATACCTCATCTTGTTTTTCATCTTGTTCTCCATCAGCATGCTTCCCGTCTCTCCGTCAGCATCCTCTTCGTCGCTCCATCAGCATCCTCTTCGTCGCTCCATCAGCATCCTCTTCGTCGCTCCATCAGCATCCTCTTCGTTGCTTCATCAGCATCCACCTGTAACGCCATCAGCATCCTCCTCGTAGCACCATCAGCATCCTCCTCGTAGCACCATCAGCATCCTCCTCGTAGCCATCAGCATCCTCCCGTAGCGCCATCAGCATCCTCCTCGTAGCGCCATCAGCATCCTCCTCGTAGGACCATCAGCATCCTCCTCAGGACCATCAGCATCCTCCTCGCAGGACCATCAGCATCCTCCTCGCAGGACCATCAGCATCCTCCTCGCAGGACCATCAGCATCCTCCTCGCAGGACCATCAGCATCCTCCTCGCAGGACCATCAGCATCCTCTTCGTAGCACCATCAGCATCCTCCTCGTAGCTCCGTCAGCATCTTCCTCGTCTCTCCGTCAGCATCCTCTTCTTTTCATCAGCCTCCTCCTCATCTAAACGAAAAATCTAAAACAAGTTAAGATTAGGACAGGAAAAATAATAACGTACTCCTCTATCTTCTTCTTGATCTTCATCTCTTGTACCTAAAAAGACTGAAGAAGAAGTTATTTGTTTGATGGAAACAAACAATTGTAAGCACCCACCACTGCCAGGGTTCGCGTTCTTTCACTGTCCGTACGCTCGACATGTCTATAAAATGCAACAACAATATCATGGCAAGTGATTATGGAGATCGTGCTGCATTGTAATAGTTTTATCATGCTAAAACATTGATATCCATGACTGTACATGATTGAACATGTATGTTAAGTGAACAACTCTTTGAAGATTATAAGACTCGCGGAAAGCTTATCGTTTGAACCGTGCATTGTGTTATAACACCCTCAATGTTATAACACATGCAGTGTTCTGTAACATTGTCAAACGATTTATTACATGCGATATAATTCAAAAATACCTAGATAAAACAAGATAATTAACGAATGTCTCATGCAATATATTCTCTGCTCGCTCAACTCTTTTCGATTTCATCCAAAAGGTTGTTTAATTATTTCGGTAAGGCACTAAGGTTTATAAAGATTTTGCAACACTCTGCCCGCATGTTGCAATATCAAATGATTTTAATTACTCAATTATATATTACAGAATATACAATTCTGTAATATATAATTGAGGTAATTGATTTAAATTCCTCGTCTCTTCATGTGCATCCTTCTCGTTTCTTCATGTGCATCCTTCTCGTCTCTTCATGTGCATCCTTCTCGTCTTTCCATCTGCATCTTCCTTGTCTTTCTATCTGCATCCTCCTCGTCTTTCCATCTGCATCCTCCTCTTCTTTCCATCTGCATCCTCCTCTTCTTTCCATCTGCATCCTTTCTCGCCTTTCCATCTGAATCCTTCTCGTCTCTTCATGTGATCCTTCTCGATCCTCCATTCATCTTCGATTCGACGATCTGTTCCGCCGACGATTCGTTTCGACGACGCCACGCCGACGACGTCGACGATTCGTCGCCGATTCTCGCGCCATCGATCTTTCTGATCGCCGACGATCTTTTTGCCGACGATTCGCGATCGCGATCGATCTTTGTCGCTGATTTATCTGCCGATTTTCTTTCCATCTTCTTTGTCCTTCACCATCTTCCTTTTCTGCATTCCTCTTTCTGCACCTTCTCTCTTCATCTGCATCCTTCCGTTCTTCATCTGCATCATCTGTCTTTCCATCTGCATCCTTCTTCTCTCCATCTGCATCCTTCATCGTCTCTTCATCTGCATCCTCCTCGTCTTTCCATCTCCATCCTCCTTGTCTCTCCATCTGCATCCTTGTATCTTCATCTGCATCCTCCTCATCTTAACGAAACATCTAAAATCAAGTTAAGATTATGACAGGAAAAAATAACATACTTTCTATCTTCTTCTTGATCATCGTCTCTAGTGCCTAAAATAGACTGAAGAAGAAGTTATTTGTTTGATGGAAGCAAACAATTGTAAGCACATACCACTGTTAGGGTTCGTGTTTTCATTGTCCGTAAGCCCGACATGTCCACATAAATGCAACAAAATTGTTGAATGAAAATCATAGCAAGTGATTATGGAGATCGTGCTTTCACATTGTTATAGTTCTATCATGCTAAAACATCGATATCCATGACTGTACATGATTGAACATGTATGTTAAGTGAACAACTCTTTGAAGATTATAACACTCGCGGAAAGCTTATCGTTTGAACCTTGCATTGTGCTGTAACACCCTCAATGTTACAACACATGCAGTGTTCTGTAACATTGTCAAACGATTTATTACATGCGATATAATTCAAAATACCTAGATAAAAACAAGATAATTAACGAATGTCTCATGCAATATATTCTCTACTCAAATCTTGTCGATTTCATCCAAAAGGTTGTTTGATTATTACGGTAAGGCACTAAGGTTAAAAAGACTATCGAGTTTAAAGATTTTGCAACATTCTGCCTGCATGTTGCAATATCAAATGACTTACCTCATTATATATTAATATACAAATATTCTATGATATATAATCGAGATAATTCACTTGAATTCCTCGTCTCTTCATCTGCATCCTCCTCGTCTCTTCATCTGCATCCTCGTCGTCTCTTCATCGGTATCCTCCTCTTCATCTGCATCCTCTCTCCATCTGCATCCTCCTCGTCTCTCTCTCCATCTGCATCCTCCTCTTCATCGGTATCCTCTCTTCATCTGCATCCTCCTCCTTCATTGGCATCTTCGTCTCTTCATCTCATCCTCCTGTTTCTGCATTAGCATCCTCCTCATCTAAACGAAGTACCCAGTAACATGACTTCTCTATATCCTTCTTGATCCTCCTTGTCCGTTCTTGATCCTCCTTGTCCATTCATTTCATCCTCCTCGTCCCTTCATCTGCATCCTCCTTTTTCTTTATCTGCATCCTCGTCTCTTCATCTGCATCCTCCTTTTCTTCATCTGCATCCTCGTCTCTTCATCTGCATCCTTCTTGTCTCTCCGTCAGCATCCTCCTCTACTTTCATCAGCCTCCTCCTCATCTAAACGAAAAATAAAAACAAGTTAAGATAAGGACAGGAAAAATAATAACGTACTCCTCTATCTTCTTCCTGATCTTCATCTCTTGTACCTAAAAACTGAAGAAGGAGTTATTTTTTAATGGAAACAAACAATTGTTTAGCACATACCACTGCCAGAGTTCGCGTTCTTTCACTGTCCGTACGCTCGACACTGTACATGACTGAACATGTATGTTAAGTGAACAACTCTTTGAAGATTATAAGACTCGCGGAAAGCTTATCGTTTGAACCGTGCATTGTGCTGTAACACCCTCAATGTTATAACACATGCAGTGTTCTGTAACATTGTCAAACGATTTATTACATGCGATATAATTCAAAAATACCTAGATAAAAACAAGATAATTAACGATGTACGAAGGTACGAAGGTACGAAGGTTTATAAAACATCATCGCATTTGAAGATTCAGCAACATTTTGCCCCCATGTTGCAATATCTTGTATACTCTATAATATATATTTGAGGTAATTCATTTGAACGTTTCTCAAGTGAATTACCCACTTTATCTCACCTACTATAACATCACTTGATGCTACAGTAGTTCCTCTCAGGAGCAGGGACGGATTAACCAAAGGAAGCTGTCTAGAAGCCTCCACAAACAAGGGCCTTCACATTATTCAAAGGAAGAATAAACATAGTTGCTTCAAAGACGAAGGAAAAGCATTTAGTTTATTTGTTGGATCAATTTCAGCTGATGAAGAACAGACCACGTATGACAACGAATCACAGTAAACTCAGCCATTTTGCTCTGATGAGCATTGAGGACAATATTCTAACAGAAATAAACTTGGAAGAACTTATCAAAGACTGCCAGAATAAAATCGCAATAACTACTTTATCTCAAGTAGCAGCATTCACTCGTCGTATGCAACAGCTTTACACGCTATATTCGAAGTTTATACTTTTATCAAATGCTTTACGAAATTTGAAAGTAAATTTTACTGTTGAAAAATGAGCAGCACATTGCGTTTAGAGTAAGGGAAAGGGGATCTTTACTACGTATTTTTGCTGCTCAGAGCCTCCACACATCTTAATCCGGCCCTGCTCGGGAGATAAAATATTATATCCTTTTGTCACAAAGACAAAGGATTGAACTTGCTATTTCTAACAATGGCCAGTTGTTAGAAATAGGCAAAATGCAAAAATCATCACACTTATGTGAATGATAACGATGAATGCAAAATGAAAATATTTTCTGGACATGTATTGAAGAGGTCCAATAATAAAGAATAGTGGAAACTTTTGGCAGTTTCGTTCGTGTTCTCACTTCAATATGTAACTGAAACTTGACGGCATTTTTGTGCTCCAAGATCGAAACATAGAAATACTAAGAAACCAAAGAAATCGATCATTCCTTCGAACAAATAGGACTCATAACGATGCTTTGAATATGCTGTAACGAGAATTCACAATTGGGTTATACATTTTAATTCATCGATCTCAAACTTACATCTTTATGTCATCGACGATTTTTCTGTATTTAACCTGCCGCTTTCAAACATGGCTAAAATATCTCAACCGTGTCATGTCTTCAGTTGCTCGTCCTTTCCAACAATTAGTCGCATTTCTTGAAGGCTGTCTTCGACTTCCAACAGACTTTCACCTTTCCCAGACGAACAGCTTGGTCAAATAGGGTTTTCGAAGTGAAAGACCCTACTTTTTCTTCTGATAACTTTCATATATCACATGAATTAATTATTAATTCATTCGTCAATGTTGTTCAAACCATGATAAAAAGGGATGAAATTCATTGATTGCATGAAAATGTATGCAGAGCAAAGACAAAAGGAACTAAGCCTGGTTTTAAGTTGACTAACTACACTGGTTAGTAAAGGGAAGCAGAGCCTTTTCTCCAGAGATTTGGAGAAAACAAAATAAATTTTCTTCTCTTTTCTCAACGAAGAGTTTGTGAAATCAATGATTGTAAGATTATGACGGCAGACAGAGCATGTCGTGCTGTGGTAAATTTTATCTAGTATGAACAAAAATTATCTCACCCAAAACCGCAATTCAATGCACCATAGCTAGGAGAGTTATCATTTTTCTCCCACCTGACCACCTTTATTTATTGTTACGTCAACAAATAAATTAGAAGGCATATCAAAAGCTTGTAATTTATTCACGTGGGAATCACCCACATGTTATAGAAAAGCTTTGTCGTGCTCAATACTTATTATGAACATTGGAGCCCTGCTTATTGCAATAATATGACTTGCCATTGTAAAATGTAATGTAATAATTTAACGAGAGAATTTTATTGACAGAACTAAATGGTAGCAAGTGATTCATTTTAGCAATCCTAATAGGATGGGACAAAGGGAAAGAATGAGAGGTAAGTTCGTTTTCAAATAATTATCTTTAGCGATGTAACGATAGCAGGACTTTCAAATGCGGTAAATGTTTTGGGAAAAGCGCGATTGTTTCTTTCCGTGGTTGTAATCCTTAAAATTACATTATTAACAGTAAAACTGAACAAATTGAAAGTTATCTTTTTCCTCTTATATTCCTTGTTCAACGAGTTCATTTCCTTGATCAAACCATGATGAAAATTTTCCAATCACATTTACATTAAAGTTTTTAAACTTCAAGATTTCCCACATTCATTTAGCTTAAATCCTGCATGATAAACGAATGATATCTCTAATCAAAGATGATCACGCAGTCTCCGATTTTTAGGAATGAAAATAGGTTTTAAGTTAATTGTTTATGTTAGGCAGAAAGCCGGTGATCCAACAATTAACACGTGATTACCCTTTAACCATAATCTCCACATGCTTTTATGAAATCCTCGAGCATCGTCCCAGAGTAAACATCTCGCTATATTATCCTGTTGTCCAGTCGTTAGCATGTTCATTTCAATATAAAATATATATTTTATCAGATGTTTCTGGAACAAAGTCTTTCTCGTTCTTGCAAGGATTTTACTGGATCCAACGGCTCTGCCAACCTGAAAACAGTAGATAGACATCTCTAACAATCAAATGACATAAATATACGCACTACGATGACAATAGATCACTTTATCTAAGTAGAAATCTCCTATTGTCCTGTAAAGAAAAATATTGTTGTCAATATTTTATAAAATCTGCAAGACATACCCTACAAGCCGTTCAATCTCCTCTCATGTTTCTTTTCACAATCCACATTAAACTTAACGTTAGTTCAGTATTCAACGTATGCTTGAATAGGATTCTTGAAAAATACATTCATATTAGGCTCTTTGGCGCCAAAACAGGTTCTTGAGATCCGGAATGATACAGACTACGTCCCTTTTGTTGCTGTCCATCAACCATCCCAATCCCAAAGAGATCAGCTGGCCATTTTGGCTCAAGTTCTTCTTATACAGTCGTCGTTTGAGCAACCTGTTAATGCAGAGAAATAATAGATAGAATGTTTATACTATCTATACATTTATAGCAGTGTGTCATTGTGGCGTGATGTCATTGCAGCGTGAGGTCATTGAAGTGATGTCATTGCAGCGTGATGTGCTTGTAGTGTGATGTCATTGTAGCATGACGTCACTGTTGCGTGATGTCATAGCGTAAACAAAATCATTTGTAGTAATAAAAATTCTCACCAGCCTAAACCAGGCATTGTTTCTACACGATATAACATTGCAGGATCATTACACGTGTGATCATAACCCCAAAATAGAAATACTTGTTTTGCAATTAAATCATTAATCACATAAATTAGTTTTTCAATGGATGTACCATTTCTAAGGTAAATTTCTAAATTTCACTTTGTGATGTGCAAGGAAGGAAGCTCGATAAAGACAAACATAATGTAACCAATGAAAACTACAATAAGATAACAGATTCTTGTATGGAGATTTCCATTTTCCATTATAATGTGAAAAATATTTGAGATTTATTTAATTTACATTCTGCATCAGAGATAAACTGGACTCGACAAAAAGCAAAAGAATCAGAGACGTTCAAAACCACGTTAATAAAGTTGAAAACGAATTAAAATTTTGTTTGTAGCAAACACAAGCCAACAATAGAGTAAAAGACTAAAAGATGAAAAGAATGTTGTTAGCTTTCGTTTATAACAAACCTGATCATTCACGCCGATATACAGTACAGACTTTCATCTGTATCCATTAAAGGCAAAAATTGATTAAAATAACTAAATATGTCCACAGATACGTCTAAATCTTCTTCCAAAATAATCATATACCCAGCATTGGGATAAGCATTAAACGTCTCTGTCAATGTTCGCTTGTAATGCTGGGAGGAAGAGAAAATACATTTAAAAAGTAATAAAAGGAACGAAAAAATTTTGATTACATCGTGGCACCTTCCAAATATTCTGCCGCTAACCGCGATATTCTACGCTTTTCCCTTCACAGTCTGGTTCTTCAAAGAATCCATCAATTACAGTAACTCCTTCTTGCCCATGAGCTGACAACATTGACCGTAAGCCACGATAAAGATAATGTAACTGTTACTACAATCAAGCAACAGGAATGTCTTGAACTTTTCTAACTTCAACGGTGTTGTTTTAATTTCAATTGGAGCAGGATTATTACCTACAACATTTAAGAACATATTCTGTCAGTTCTTCATATCGTTCTAACATTAGCTGCAATAACAGTGATATCCTTATTTCTACAATTTTTCCATGGAGTATTCTCATATTTTCTCGAAGTTTTAATGCACAATGTGAATGGCAAAATTACTGAACACATCGCTGTACGTTCAATTAAATAAGAAATCTAATCCTACATGGATGTAACGAAAAGAACTTACAACTGCTACCTTATAGCCTTCAAACTTATCACAAAACATTCTTCTTGCTTTGATTCTTCACTGTCATCCCAAGCACATTGAGATTGTTTAGCAGGAACAAGAGGAACTGTAGCACGAGCAGACAGGCTCACCCCAGTTCGATATGTCTGCTGCGTGATGATGTTTCTGAGTATTTCTGGCCACGTTTTGTGACGATAAATGACCAGCTATCCCGCCATTTTAGTTCATCGGCATAAACACTACCAAGACTTTTGAGCAAAAGCAATATCGGCGATCATGTAAAGACACAGTTCTCCACGTAAAAGGATTCTTTAAGAAACTCTTACAAGTGTCAAGGAAACATTAACTTGTAGCATTATTTTTCCATCTGTTAAAATGTGACTTCAATACGATCGGAAATATACGTACTCGACTTAATGGTCATTGTTTGCACCCATTTCTCTTCCATTTGACTTGGTGCAAGCAAACAAAGTTCAGTATAATGAGCAATTTGCGCAAATTTGGAGACTGGCAACCGGCAAATACTTCATTGCTATCTTACAATTGGTTCATTTGAATTTTTGTTTTATTGTGATTGGTTTGACGGATTTCGACTGATAGCCAACTGAACTAACATAGTCAAGCTCACTGTCTGAATTGAATGTTTGATCGTTTCATAGCAATTTTATAAGCATGATAGAACTAAACTACAATCAGATGGATTTTATGGAAATCTTTACAAATTCATATATTGACATGAATGAAGCTGTCCAAACTGTGAATTTTTTCAAGAGGGTGAAAAATTTATGGATAAATTGTAAATGCTTGGCGAAGACGATCTCGCGATTTCAGTCATTGATGTTCAAAAGAAAGCCAACATTGTTTTGAGTTTTATCAGCAGAAATTTACATCCAAAATCGTAAGTAAAGGACAAGTGAAGTGTATGCATGAATGTAATATATCAAAGTCAATTTATGCGAGTATGATGCGATTTATGTCAATATGGCATATGGTAAGCAGATTGATGCTTCTAAAATTGTTGCCGAAGAGTTTTAGCTATAATTTCTTTAGTGCTTGGGGAATCGTGGCCGTTATATAAAATCCTACATTCCTGCAAATATATTTCAACACAAAAATCTGTAGCCATAAGGCGCCATACTATTTACTTTATCATAAGCAAATGTTTGGGCTTTTCAGTTTATGATCATTGATCATTCAATCATTGACAGTTATACTACATATTGTTTAAGATTTGAGAAAACTAACATTGATTAAACAGAGAAGCTGTTTACTATAACCTGTGATTTTGAGTCTTCTGATCCATGAAGCTTTTTATTTTGACAATTTGACTGGAATGGTATTAAACCTGAGTATTTCACATACATGAAATGTTGTCCCATGTCATATTGTCCCTTTTCAAACTGAACACCTCATGTAGAGATGTAAAGGTGTGTTAATCGGCTCATACCATAAAATCCAAAGTTTGCCATAAATCCAAAGGGCTATTGATGTATGAAAAGCATTTTTATAGAGTAAAATGTCTTCCTATGTATGCAGATAAACCTTGAAATTTGGCAAAACAGCAAAGTATTTTCATGATCACTATGTAATTTTTCTGATGATCATAATTTCTAAACTAAATTATTTCAGATCAAACGAGCTTTGATCATATCAAAAGATATTTATCATAACCAGTAAGCATGACACATGAACCAAATATAACATTCATGTAATTATATAATTAAAGACATGTTGGTTACATTCTGTTTGTATTTGCAAATACTACTACTAGTGATTGCTATATATAGCACCTTGCATATACTTACAGAAGATAATAGTCTAGTGAAATGCCTAATAAACATTTATGACATTAAGCTGTCTTAACTGCAAATTTTACTCTGATAATTTTTGCTTAATCTTTGGCAGAAAAATTTTGAGTTTTTCTCAAAAAGTGAATTTGCTGGACACTGATGTGGAGATGGGTAAAGGGTTACAATAAACTTGCATGGTTTGAAGTCTGAGCTTTTCTATATCTATGAACTGTCACTTGTAGTACCAAATTTCTAACTTAACTCGTTACATAGAGGTTTGAATGGGGTCTCTAGGGGTCTATGCCTGACAACTTGGTAGAAATTTTAAAGACTGTATCTGTTTTGAATAGCATTATTGTGAAATAAATTTTACGTTCCTAGACATTGCTAATGAGCCATATTTGGCATGATAATGAGCCTAAATATTTGGCAAAACATTCAAGTATTGTT